TCACCAGAGAGCAGCAGCTAATGCTGATGTTCACTCAGCTATTTAATGTACCCTTTCTGGGGAAATAAGGCAGGGGACAGAAGTGGAGAGGGATGAAAAGTGCCATGTGTCAGCTAAGGATGCCATAGACCTGTAAGCTTTTACCCTCTCTCAGCTTTACAGGATGGTGATGTTGAGAACCAAATACTAAGTTTTGTTATTCCCTTTTCTTCATCAGGCTGAAAAGCAGGCAAGAAAAGAGCAGGAAAAGCAAGCAGAATTGGACTACAGTGCTCGGAGAGAGGCTGCTTTTCATCAGGATCGAGCGTTTTGGAGATGAAGACAGTGAGTAACTGAATCAGTGCCATTACTGGTTGTAATTTCTATTCTCTCCAAACATTCAAGGAAGGAACAAGATGTGGGCTTCCTAATTAGGACAACTGCAAGAATGGTGGAGTGGATAATCTGCAATATTAAAAACAGTAAAAACTGGGGGACGGGTGGATAAAGATGGTTGATGCAATGCCTTCCTGCCTTGTACATGAGCCCCCAGCTTGCTCAGGACCAAGAAAACACTTGGCATTTTGCCATGACTTTTGGAGTCTGCTTTGGCCCTCAAAGCTCTGCCTGAGGGCAGGGCCAAGAACTCTCCTCAGGGCCAGCACAGACTGCTACTGTCTTGGTCAGTCCTGCTGTGGTCTGGGCTGCTTGGATAGGAGAACATGGCTGGGTGGAGCTGACTGAATCTTTATCTATGTCAATTAGCATGGCCCATTAATCTGTAGTGTGAACCAAAGTACAGTAAGTAGAAACAATGAAGACTAGTTTCAAAACCTCACTTCTGACCTAATGTAAGAGACTACCATTGCTGCACTATCAACTAAAAGTCAGAGTTCTCTCCAATTATCTTGGAGTAGTTACTTTTGAAAATTACATATTACAAAAAGAGACATGGCAATTAACTTGTGAAATTGTCCCTCAGTACTTTTTTCCTTAGGTCACTAATGGAAAATTTATTTCCCTTCTCTCTGAGCCAGTGCTCATTTTATTACATCCAGCTTTTTTTCAGCAAGCAGAAAGAATGGAAACTTTTATAAAAGCCTTTTGATGGCAGAAGCTGGAACCTTAAGAAGTACTGACTACAGCAGGAGTGGTGCTGAAACCTGCAGAGCTCGATAATGCTCCAAATGCATCCCTAAGTGCAAATTTGCACATGCTCACTACTATGCAATTGGTGAGTTAAGTGGGTTTTTAGTCTACTTCCACAGCAGCAAGAAACAAGATGGATTGCAGCCTCATTTCCTACTCAACTTCCAAAAATGTCTTTTTCTGCAGATTACGTATGTCTGCATTTGAAGTCTACAGCCTTCTTCCATCAGGCTTCTACTCCTTTTTCTTTGAACATCTACAGAAAACCATCAAACTCCAGTACCATAAAACAACTCTTTATTTCAGTACATCTAGAATAAAGTGGGAATTTAGTGTAATTTTAAAGCATGTTGGCTAAATATAGATTTAGTTACCCAAATTCAGCATGAAAAAAATCCAGCAGCAGTCATGACTGCCTCTGACATGCACATGCTTTGTATATTTGTTTTAAATAAATAATTCTAGTTAGTAATTTTCTGTAAAACCTCTGTAAAGCATAGTATGATGACATTAGATCAGAATGGCCAGAGGTGGTGGAATGTTGCTGGTTAAAAGGTATCCTGTGTAAGGCAGGAGGCTGGTTCAACTGCTCACCAGAGTCCTTTTCAGCTGCCATTTAAAGATAGGGAGATTAAAATACAGGGAGATGAACTGCAGCTGATAGGAAAGGAAATTGTTGACCTGGAAGCATCTACTCATTTGAGAGGTACCTCTCATTTAATGCCTAGGGCCACTCTTGCGTTACTTAATAGCTGGAGTCATCATTCCCAAACTTATTTAGATATGTACATGGTGCTTAGGGACATGGATTAGCTAGTGTTGGACTTCAGTACTGGGTTAACAGCTGAACTTGACCTTAAAGGTCTCCTCCAATCTAAATTATTCTATAAAGTTTTAATTAATAGCTAGCAAATCAGAAAATGCTTTGAGAAATAATTTGACTAGTAAACTAATTATTGGTTTTGCTCAAAAATGCATCCTCTCAGATATTCTTCTGCTTCAGGACATTGCAGCAGGTGAGAATCATAATAGGTATTAGCCTTATTTGAAGACCAAGACCTTAGACATGCAAGGCAGCTCTCAGAGGGACTGATATGGAGACCTTAAATCCAACTGCATTTTTTCCACACTTGTGATCCAATTCTGGAAACAGAACAGCAGTTTTAGTTTGAACATGTGGGCCTCCAGTGTGTAACATGGTACTCTCCCAGCAGTATTGCAACTCACACCTGTGTGGTGGTACACGTGTAAGAGAGTACTGTTCTCATGGATCTAATACAACTTCTACCTAGGAAATGGAAGAGAACAGCTCTTTAAAATGCCTTATATCCTAAGGGAATTTGAATTAAATAACTGTGCAGCTCTTTACTGTTAGGTAGTGTCCCAGGCTGGAGTTACTAGATCTGTGCAAGTTCTTCTAGCATGAGTCTTTGCTACCAGTTAGCTCTGAGGAAGTTTGAAGAGGATACATACCTGGAAACAAATGGCCCATGAACAGAAGAGTTGGCACCATGGGACTGTTAAGGGTGAACATTTTCACATCCCAATACAGACTGCTCTGTACTTCTGAAAAAGAAAAAAATATTTTCAAAGCTTCCTTGTAATGTTAGGTCAACTCTGTTTCAACAGCTAAATTCTTTCAAATGTCTGTTAACTTAGGCCTTCCCATTATCTCTTGAATGGAAGAGTGCTGTAACTAGTCTGTAATCTTCCTCCTTGTTCTGGCAGTGCATCCTTGTTTCTGATACTGATCTTCCTTCCTGTTCTGGCAGTGTATTTTTGAGAGACAGAACATTTACTACCTCTAAATAGCATGCAAAAATCCCCATAATCAGTGAAGGGTAAGATGGTAGAGGGAGGTGAGAGATTAGAGACCATATGAGATGTTTTCTTTGGAATTATCTTAATTTCTTTGTTTAGAATAAGTTGTGGTATAGGCTTTGTTAAGCTTGTAATGTGTGAAGTCATTGCCTTCATACTACTGCACTCCCACCACTTAAACAAAAATTTTTGTTTTAGTATATCATGCTATTACTAGATGTTTAAGTGAATACATGAATGATTCAAATCTGGCCTCTGATCTGGTAAACAAGTCTCTAGTAAGCAGTCTAAAAGCAGAGCTGTTTGTAGCTTGCTGACACTATTTTGTATAAACCAGCATGCCACTTTGTTCTTCTGTGGACTGCCTCAGCTCCAATACATTATCCAGAGAAATGAACAGTTCTGTTGGGTTCTGAAGGGCTCAAACATCAGAAGTGCAGGTCCAGGAAAATTCAACATTGCATCTCTGTTAACATAGTAATTGCACACCCCACCCCACCCCCCTGCCCCCAGTGAGTACCATCTGGTCTGACTCCTTTTCTGAATAAAAGGAAAGTAAGTAAAGACTAGAAAGAAAAAACAACACGTACTGAAAATAAGCGTGTATTACTGAGCAGACCAAGAAAAATACAACAACTGGCACAGTGAACAAGGGCAAAGTTTTGGGACTATCTTTGGTAAAGCTTTTAAGTATTTCTGCATTAGTTAAGCTACAATCTATCAGTGCATATACAATTATTAGAAGCTACTAATTATACACTTAAGCTGTTTCTTTTTTTTCTTTAGAAATATATTTTACCACTAGAAAAGCATCTACAAAGGAGTGAGAAGGAGCCACTCTCTTTCCAAGTTCCGTGTGCCTGCAACACCAATCAGTGCCCAACAGCAGAAGCTAACTGTGGACCAAGTTACAAGACACATGCTATTGCTAGAACCTGCCTATAACTCAAGCTCAAGAAACAAGTGCCATAGCTTGCAACTGTACTGTAACTACTTTTATTATGGAACAAAGCAGTACATTCTTTTCAGAAAGTCAAGAGGTAACAACCAAAGGTAAACTATCAATTCATCTGTACTGTACTCCTTGAATATTGCTGGGCCTCCGGGCTTAACTCAAACCTTCTGTTTTGACTTGGGGAAAAAAAAAATCTTACTGAGCAAATAAAATTGGGTACATCTGTCTCAATAAAATCCATGTTAACCATACCTTTCATTTGTGAAAGTTTTCTACTTTTATTTTGGAGAATGCAACAGAAGATAGAAATAGAATCTTGAGAAGTTGTGGCATTGGCCGAGTCTTTTAATCCTTTATGGGAAATGTCTGCAGCAAGATTGTATCTAGCACTCCAGCTACTCTGACTACAGGAGATTGGAAATCACTTTCCTGTTGTCTCCTAAGCACTCTGCTGCCAACCAGCCAGGCTGTGATACTGCTGTAGGTGAAGGTGTTAGTTCTAAACTGACTCTGTGTTCATTCCATTTACATTCACATTGAACAGACAGTTCTTCTGTAACTAGTGAAAACTGTTCTGCTTAACATTCAGACACACACACAAACACTAGTATTTTTCAAGTAAAAGACCATAGTTGGCAACAAATAGTTTGCAGTTGGACATTAGATCAGCTTCATTTCATAGCTGCGTTTTTATATGTTATAATATAGACATATTAGACTGTCATTTGCCATTCAGTCACAGAAATCCTTAATTGCACCTACTATTTGACACTATCATCTAATGTAACATGGAATAAAAATCTAACTTCACATCTTCAGTAAAAACTTAATTGATGTTGGCTTAACTGAGGAGGTAATAGCATGAGATCAAATCACTCTGCCCTGTAAATCTGTACTCAAAGTATCAGCACATCAGAAGGCTGGAGGCAGGCCAAGCACATTCACCCTGAGATGAGCTCACTTGATCAGAGCATGGTGCTAATAACGCCGAGCTCATGGGTTTGATCTTGTATGGCTGACTCACCTAAGAACTGACCTGATGATTCTTGTCAGAGAGTCCTCTTGACCTGAGGACCCTTCCAGCTTGGAATATTCTGTGAATTTACAAGCACAGGTTGCACAATATGACTTAGAAATTATTATTTCTCTAAATGCAGAAGATGCTAATACTGCAAGAAGCACATGTGGCAGAGGTGGAATACACTAACAAATAAGCAAAAAAGGCATTTCTTTCTAGTACACAACTTGTACATTTCATATCAAGAATTCATGCTCCCAGCTTACAACTAAATAATCTTCCCTGTTATGAACTACAAATTACAAAATGTCCAAAAGACTATGATTAATTACAAAATACTCTGCTAAATTCTATATGCACAATACTGCTGGCACAATAAACAATTATTTTAGCTGAAGGAACACTGTTATGAGCTCTTATCATTGTTCAGAATTTAATATGCCTAAATTCTTTCCAGTCCTTTCAACCACTTTCCAATAGCAGCTATGGCTAAAGCAACATAGAGACTGCTTTTTATAATGGGGATATGTAGCCATGTCTAACTTCCTGCCAAAAATAGCAAGTCTCCTTAAGTGCTTTACATATTGCAAAATTTAAATTCAAAATCAGGGTGCTGCATTAATTCAGCTTATTCAGTCCCTTTAATGCTTCAGAACTTCTATGAGTAAAAATACAAATTTCAAACCAATCATATGCATATTTAGCAGTTCGAGATTTCTCCTATGATCTTATGCATGTTAACTGTGCTATTAGTTTTATTTGAACAATGACTGTATGATTAAGGAAAGATACTAATTTAGTATTTTTACAAAATATACCTGTACCTTTATGTAGTTTTACTATCTACACTCATCACTTTTAAAATATTTTATTACTGCTATTCCTTTTGTGAAATTGCATACTAATACTAGAAAACTTATTTTCATGTGATAATTAAAAACAAACAAACAAACAAACAGGTGAACATTACTTTTGGCCTTTACAAAGTTTTGTTGAAACAGTGTTCTTAATGACATGAATTGTTCAAGGGTGAGAAGTATGAGTAAAACTAGAAGTACATAAGCATCAAAATGGAAAGCTAATGTTTTCTGTTAGGCAACTGCAGAACTGTAGTAAATTCAAATTTTGCAAAATGCAGTTCACAGACTTTTTGATACCCATTTTCTTTAATAATTTATACTGCATTATGAAAATTACTACTTTCAGCAAAGGGAAGGTACATAACAGTTCTTTACATTTCCATTACATCGACTCTAGAAGTGTAGCCAACCTTGCCCCCCTCCCCGCAAAAAAAAACCCTTCAAAACACCAAAACAAAATTAATAACCCCCTAAAAAAAACACTTTAATGGCTGCTGCTTTTATAAAAGTATAGTATGCATATCTTTAGGTTTTCTATTTTAAGGAAAGTCCTAAAAGCAGGAATATACATTTTTGCTTATCAGAAAAACAATGAGTCTACCATGCCCTCAGAGGTGTTTCCAAAAATACTTTATTTGCTTCAATAAATCAACAGTTCCAGAAAAGGCAGCTAAAGGACTGCTTCTTTTGTTTACATTAAACTAAAATCCATTTACCAGGCTGACACTATTACAAATCAGACATTATTGGGGATCACTGCAAATTCTTCAATGCATCTGACAAAGAACATTGCAAGAAAAGCCTGTAGCCTGGGATTTCAAGTACAAAATGCAAAGTTTCAGGCTAAAATTCTAACAACAAAATAGAACAAAGCATTAAAATTTAACCATTGCCTTTTTCTTTCTTAAAAACAACCAACTGAAACACTATGGTCGTGTTAAAGAATTAGCAGACAGCAACACGTTTTTTACAGGTAATAGTGTCTACATAACTGTGCATTCTATCTATCCACCCTCAGCAACAATTTCTGCTTCTGAGTTGATGGCAGTACCCAGAGAATCCAGCATAAACTAAGTGTCTTTCTAATAAAGTTTGGAAAGCCACTGTCAATTATAAATTCATAATTCCAGGTATCTATGTTACATGGTATTAGTAAAATCTCAGCATCTATTGTGGATACAAAAGAGAAAGCATGTCTAACCTTTGGAAGTTATTTCAAGCCTGTATGAACACTTAAACATACACTTACAAATTTAGTCCAGTAATCTCTGCCCTCACTTTACATTTTGTATTGGTGTTCACTAATTCCCTGGAATAAAGTTAGTTCTGGGGTATCAGCAGAAAAAGCTGCACTCTACTACTTTTTTCCCCACATTGACAATAAAAGATCATGAGCATTGTTTTTACTGCCTCCGGAATACTTCTATTCTTCCAAACCAGTCCTTTGAGCCAAAAGCCACCTGACACAGATGTCAAAGATGGCACTGAGCTATACTGTGACTACAGCACAAGGTGGCTACTGTGAGGCCAGGAACAGGAAAGCTCTGTCACTGAGGGACTAAACACATTCAGGACTGCAAAAGCAAGTCAGTGCCTCCTGCCAAGGCAGCAAGAACTGACTAGTGCTTGGGGACATCTAGTTGTCCCTGGGATTGGGCTTCAGTCCCACCAAGTTCTTGATCAACATTCTCAAGTTCCACTTTGATAAAGAAAAGCACAAATCTAGCAAACCTTCCCTTGTATAATACTGCAGTTGTGTTCCTGTTTCAACAAAGTAATCAGCACTAAACCAATTTACCACCAAATACAACACAAGCAACTGTATCCCACCACCTGCAATTTAGTCTAGCCAGCTTTAAAAAAAAACCCAAGTACATAAAAAAAAAAAAAAGAAAATGGGCTTTGTGCCACCAACTCAGATGACTTTTTAATGTGCTGTGAAAGAATTAAAGTCCATTTAAGTTGCAAATTTTCTGAACTGTAACAAAGTCCATACAAAAGAGTATGCAAGTGCATATTTTAAAATAAGTAGCTACAACTGCAAACTACAATTGGATTTAATATCCATTTTGAGATTTTAAACTAAACACAATTAAAAAAAATATATTCTATTGACTGCTGTATTGCTGACTGCCTGTATTTTCCTCCCTTCAGCAGAGTCAGTATAGTTGTGGATTGTTTTGTTTACATGCTTATACAACCTCAGTGATATTGGCAAAACTATTCTCAGTAGTGCAAATAAACGTCTTCAGCAATATCTTGCTCATGTGTCAGCTCTATTTAAAATAATGAAACAATATTGCAAAGTTTTTAAATGAGACTCTGAAGCACATGGCATGCACAGCACAGTATAAATGCATGGTTAAGCTGCCACAAAATTTTCTGAAGCCTAACTTCCTACCGTTACACTTACTACAGTCCCCCAGAGTAGGACTACAACTTCTCCAAAGTCCTACAAAGTTCAGAAATCCACTATATAGGTCTTTGGTTTACTCTTCTGAGTTCTCTTAAGTAACTGCTGTGTCATCCACCCACATGTGGACCAGGAACATTTTTAAACCTTCTGCATAAAATGACCACTGAAATGCAACATTCATAGGAGGTGTTTTAAAACAGTAAAAAAAACCACTTGACAAACAAAGTAGCTCCACTAACTATTCTGTTAAGTCACTCTACACACTTCCAGTTTTCTTCCTTTAATAACATTGCTTATGTTGCTCACAATCCTAGGTTTTGCTTTCAAGACACAATTTTTCTTTAGAAAAACAACTGCCTGAATCACAACTGTCAAGCAAACTTTGGCCTTTCTCCTAATCTGCTGTAAACAAACGCTGATCACAAAGTGAAAATGTTAACAAACCCATTACCAAGACAGTAAAAGCAAGTTGTTTCATCTAGTGAAAGATTTGGCAAAAATTTCAAAGATTACAATATTGTTTTGCTTTGACACAGGTTAAGATTGTACTTGTCACTTCCCTTTACGACTTTCAAAGACTGCCAGTCTTAGATGTGAATAGTTTCACGGACTGAAAGGAGCGCTGGGGTTTGTACCGAAAATATCCTTTCAGACCACTGCACTGAGTCACCACAGACCAGCTGCTCTTTGGGGATTGCACATATGGGGGCACTGCTGCAGCAGCACAAGCCAAACTCCTCTTCCACATGAAGGCGTGGTGGTGAAATACAAACTGGGGTGGGACCTAGAGGCAGGAGAGGAAAGCAGAAAAGGGAGGGAATTGGTTTGAGGGACATAGTAGAGAATGAGAAGGAATCCACAGTTACATTCTTTAGAATGAGAGGAAACAAGGAAGAAAGCAAATTTCAGTTTAAAAAAAATTCAAGAGCATGTTTTAAAACCTTACTTGAAATTCTG